CTATATTTAGTACATGATTACCTAATTAATCAAAGTGAGGGAGGCATATTGTTATGTTTGCTTATTTTTTTGTCTAGAAGTGAATAATCCCTTTTACTCTGTTTTCGCGGGGAGGACATCGGTGCACGGCTTTACGAGTTTGGCGCCTCAACTAAAACTAGTCACTTTATGGCTTTAAACAATCTGCAGGTGATTGAATAATGACATGGGGTCTAGTTTTTATCTATATTGATCAACTAATTGCTGTGCTAAATTAATGAGCTTGGAAATGCAGCTCGTTTTATCCTCTAGACTTTGTTTTGTAGGCAGTTGAATGTCCTGACGCCGGCGAATTTGTTTGTAACGTATTAATTTGCGACCTAAATCACTTTCAGCGCGAATAAGACTGCCTGTTATTTAGCTTTCTTCCGTATTAAGGCAAACGAATCAAAAATGGCTAAAACAACCAAATCCATGTATGTCTAAGACTATTGTAAAATTGTCTTTGGTCTCTAGAAGTGCCGTGCAAGATGTGAGTTGTGCGGATGAGGAATTTTGGGCGCGAATTTTGCGATTTTGAAAGTCTTAGCCTGCCATGAACAGCGCATTTCAATAGCGCTGTGCCAACAATCTTAGAGGCACCTGGGCATTTACTGATGGCATTTGCAGACTTCGTCACTCATCTTGTTGAGCTCCCAAGCTCTGCCACCTGACAGACTCGTGCATTGCGGTAACAAGGGATGAATCTTCCTGTTTTTTTAGTGAGCTTGGCTGTTTAGAGCATAATCTAATTGTTATATCATTGTTTCAACCATATCAACTATTCAGCTTGTCTCCTCACGGTGATGTAGTGGCTAGGTTGAGCTGTTATTGGAGAATGTTAGAAAAGAATGCGTGGGTGGACAAAACCAGTGTCTAATATAACGTCCCGAGGCTTTCCAACTGGTGGTACAAGCCGTTAAGCATAGATGGGATGTCTGAATTCAGACAGTGGGAGAAAGCGAGCTACTTAAGTTTGGGTAAAAGTGATATTCACATTAAAGTGGCCTTTCGCTGAATACACAAAATCTTGCAGTAAGCTGCATTGAAACTGACATTTCTCCATTTGCCGTCCACTCCATTGGATGCGAGGGTTTCTCAAAACATGCAGCCTGCGGATTCATTTAAAGTTCTCTCGTTCCACGCTGTATTCCCTATCTTGGTAGTGCAACATATGCGTATTTTTTGACCTGTAAAAATAACAGACTCTCTCGTTTACCTAAGCTCGGTTTTCTGCTTTTCCTTCGGTATAGGTGAGGATAGTATAGATGAAGGCATAGGCTACACAGTAAACCAGTCGCAATTCCCGCGTGATAAGGAATTGAACGAGGTCTTTGGTAGCAGTGATGGCCTTAGGGTAAGTATTCCGATTTGGTTAATCATTTACCCAACGAGTAGGAACGCATTCTAAAGTTAAACGTAATCGATACTTATTCCACGTTGTGGTAGACATAGAATTATTGTTACCTATTTTTATTCAGTAGAAATTTTATTTACACAAAATGCGAGCTATTTATTGGGTGATTCTTAGGCATCTGGCCAGCGTCTGAAGCGTGCAGATCGTGAAAGCAAGTTCTCCGTTAGCGGAAGTGCAAATATTGGCTTTCCAAGTGGTTATAGTGGCCTTGAGTGGGACTTCGTACCTGACAACGCTCCCATCTGTCGCAAGCCGATCACTACAGGGTGAGTAATGGCTATTGAGCCGCCACAGCTACCTACTGAATGACAATTTTATATGGAACTAGACAGTCCCCTGGTCACTTTCGACTTTTCGTCATTCTGAATTCCGATGACCTATGCAATCCCTAGATCACCTCATTAACTATATTCATGCCCTCTGTTGCTAGTTTAGTGTTCAAAAGGGAAACGGTTCGTGTCGTAGGACGGAACTGCTCAAAATCCGAAATGCTAATGTGGCTAAGCACGACAAATTAAACCAATGGCTTCCAGTTGCAGGGCTCTTCGTTAACCGCGCAACAAAATGTAGGTTATGGGAGTCCCTTCATGTAATAGACCGCCATCCGCGCCAATAGTCATACGATGAACCAATGGTCTTCCTCGTGCATTTGCACATCCATTGGATTAGCTGTGCGCACGTAAGCTCGCGTGCCCGCGCGGCAATTGGTTCGTGGTTATGCATATCTTTGGTCGCGCTGTTTAAACCGAAGTCAGTACTTCGCGCTCGATCCTGCCAAGAGCAGCCGCGGCGATATGGGTCTTTCGGAACATTCTGCATCCACCGAAGAAATAACTGCCATCTCCGTCGAAAAAGTTGAGGATAAACTGACTAAACTCGGTATAGGGCATGACCGGTAATTGTTTGCGATCTGATAATTTGAACATATTTTCCCTCACCGCTCAATTATCGGTGGGCTTATATCAAACTTGGTGCATCTATATTCGTAATTGTATCTGGTGTACTTTGCACTACCTTGAAGATAACATGCAAAAAATGTGATTTGGGTTGACAAAATAGGTTTTGTTTACCGATCACTCTAATATCCAAGTAGTTTATTATTTACTTATCTTTTACCTGACAGTCAGGCCGTATTCTCAAATCCTGTGAATAGTCTTTTTCACTGGTTTTATTTTAAAAAATGTCTATTTATTTAAACACCCACTTTGACCCGTCCCAAATTTATGCATTCATATTGATAACATTTAACTTTGATCTCAAACATAAGAGAATATTAAAGTCAAAGCCGTGAGAAAA